CGCCGATGCAGACAAAATAGCTTTCGAGGGACGGCGAACGTACGAGAAATCACCCAAAACATCGCGATGGCCTCCGAGGCGCGTATCCTTTGCAAGGTCCCAGTCCCGCGGGCGCTTCGCAAAAGCATCACAAGCCAGCATCTCTACAGGAGAGGAAGCAGAGAAGAGGCTAAGTCTAGATTCTCGTGGGTGGTGAGACCAAATAACAAGCAACCCGGTGGTTGTGGTTGTGAAAAAAGCGTGGCAAACAACACACAGCAGTGTGGAAGCCGCGTCCAGCACCCGCTTACCGTGTAATGCCAGCTGACGCCAAGTTTCAAGGAGTGATGCCGTGGGCGGTGGCTTGCTCCTAGAGATAGATGAAGGTTCTGTCGTTGACACGCTTGTCCACGACCACGTTGAGATGGGAAAGTTGCTTGTTATTGCTGAGAGACGATCAGCAAAGGTCTGGGATGAAGTGGGGATCCAACTTCATGTCAGGGGGTACACAGAGTAAACAATTCTAAGGGGGTAGGGGTCAGAAGGGTATACCTCCTGACCGACCCGCATCCTATCAAAAATAAGATGTACCCTATTCATGCTGCTAGCAGCCACACTCCTTAACAATGGTCAGAAAGTAAAATGGGGAGGACTTCACGGAACGCCCCTGATTACCACACAACAAGTGAGATTAAACGTATGATTAATTGTGGAAAGGAGGAAAACAAGCACCGAAGAATATTGGATCACCTACTGCATATTTAGCTATGCTAGCGCATGTGGTCCCGGACGGAGACATGGAGATGGATGTTTTATTGGGCCGAGATAGTTGGTCTCATTTTCCTGTTCAATACAGGGATGTATCGGATAACGAAACAACAGTCACCTTCGAAACAAATGAGGGAAAGGGAGCAGCAGTTGACCAATATTTTGCAAAATGGGTTGACAATGCTGTTGAAATTATTTAACACGAGGGTAGTGGTGAAGTGGTAGTCAGGTGTGTGGGAAAGAAACGGTGGTTGCCAAATAAAATGTCTTGGGTACAGGTTGACTAGACCAACCCTGATGGCAGTGAAGCTGCAGAAGGAACATACCGGGTAAAATTCAAGGATAAATGGTTCCCTCAAGAGGCACTTGTAAGTGCAGGCAAATCTGAATTCCTTTGAGACGAGTGGGGGATGCTGCATTTTTGGTGAAGTACAATCATTGAATGATCTATTGGGTGAGGGTGGGGAACCCCTGGAGGTTGTTAGTAATGGACGATGCAAGGCTTATCCCAAATGAGGAATATAAGGTACTTGTGGTGTCCAGTGATGGAGCTGGAGTGCCTGAAGATGAACCTCCTGATGATGTCATGGCTGGTTTAAGCCCCTCGCAACAGGTGGCATTTCGGCGTCTATGGCGGCAGAAGGTGCCAGCGCATATTATACGAGATGTTCGTTTCGATTTTAGCGCGGAATTGTGGGAGCCCGAAGATAAAATACAGTAGGGGGCCCTCTATAGTGCCGGTATGTGTTCAGAGAGCAAAGCGGCACTATACCGGGCACCGGCACTATTCAGAGTACAGAAAGACTTGATATTCCGGTGTGTGCGAGCCGAAAACACCGGCACTATACCGGCAACCGGCACTATTCAACCGGCACTATATCGGGCCACCCACTGTAAAGCTAAGTGATCTGTTTTGCAAATATGAGCACAGATTTTCAAAGGACGGCACTGATTTGGGACACGTCAAGGTGGATCCGTTCCGAATTATTTTGAAACCGGGGGCACAGCCGGTTAAACAACGGCGGTATCGTTATTCGCCGGTCATCAAAAATGAAAAAGTGCAGATAGAAGTCGATAAACTGCTGTTGGCAGGAGTCTTGCGACGATCATACAGTAATTGGGCAAGTCCCTTGGTCGTGGTCGCAAAAGCTAATGGAGGAGTGCAGTTAACGGTGAAATACAAAAAGGTGAACCAAATGAGCGTTATACCAAAACTACCGACACCAATTGAATAGTGGAGGACATTTTGGCGGATCTGAAGTCGGCGAAAATACTCAGCACACTGGATTTGATCAGCGGATTTTTCCAGTGTTGCATTGAAGAAGACAGCATTCCGATTACTGCTGTTATTACAGCCGCAGGCTTATATGAATTCATGGCTATGCCGCAAGGAAGGCTTGTCAAGTAGTCCAGGGTGGATCCACTCAGTCATGCAACGTGTGTGTGATGGGTTGGAAAGAGTGCGATTATTCATATTGACGACGTTATCATATACTCCCGAAATGGTGCAGAACATGTATGTGCAAGAAGATTTGGAGAGGTTTTTTGAACGCATGACCAAGTTCAACGTTAAACTGGCGCCGAAGAAAGCACATTTGGGGGTGAAGGTGGTGACGTTCTTGGGACATCAAGTGACGGCTGAAGGGATCGAACCTTGTCCGAAGAAGGTGAAGCCCATGTTGCAAATGCCGATGCCGACGAATGTCATTCAGTTACGGTCAATTTTGGGAAGTCTATCTCGGAATTTTTTGAAAGGGATGCCTGCAAAATTTCATTCAGTAACGGCGTTGTTAATTAAAGAAGAATGCAAAATTTGTGTTCACGGCAAGGCATGCCGAGGCGATACAAGAAATGCGGGACAAATTGTCAAGTTCGGAAGTGTTGGCATTTCCTGATTATGAAGGAGCGATGTCAGGGAAAAGACCGTTTAGGCTAGACTAATCACGGATCGGATGCATCGGTATCTGGACTTGAAGCAGTTATTATTGAGCAAGAGCAAGAGGATGGTACGGTGCTACCCCTGTGTTATTTGAGCAGGTCGACCTATCCCACCCAATGAACTGAGGTGGAGTGCAACAGAGCTAGAGTGTGGGGCAATTGTTTGGGTTATCAAGTGAAACCGAACATTGTTCTACGGCATTCATTTAAAGATACACAGCAGTGATCACCTACCTGTTGTACGAAATTTAGAGAGCTTGGCGGAAAAGAACAACAGGGTTCAAAGGTGGTTCGATTTCCTGTCAGCGCACACATATATATGTATGAGCTGAGAAATGAGATTAATTGATCCGTCCGATCTGGATGTGTAGACTATATGATAGGTGCAAGCGGGGTGATTCCTGCGAGAGTGGGTCTTATCTTGGGTGGGCGAATACGTCCGACACAAGCCTACCCTCGCAAGAATTGTGTGGTGGGATAAGATGGACATCGGCCGCTCACGACCGATGAAGAGGCAGATCGGACGTGGTAGGTGATTCAGCAGCACAGAGAAACGATGGCTCTAAGAGTGCAGGATAAACCGAAAAAAATTGTTTTGAAAGAAGAGACTCCGCTGATGATAGATCCAGGGAACATGGTGGTTAGTGGTCGATGGGAATCAGGCTTAATACTGCATGCGGTCCCGAAGACAGAGGTGGGGAGATGTTTGTTGGGAATGGGTCGAGTCATCAAAAAGCAACCAGGAGTGAGTCAAGAGAAAAAGGGTCATCATGGTGATAAACTCAAATGAAGGAGGAGGCTCAGCAGGTGATTGATCTGAAGCTGAACCAACACCAGTGATTCGATCGCAAGGTCCCAAACAGAGGGTTGGAACAGCAAGTTGTTGTTGTTGTTTACTTCACATTAAACCGTATGCCAGTTGCTAAATGCCAAAATCTAGCAAAGACTCTCGGCCCGTGGTCACGAAAGTGCTAGAGCCATCTGAGGATCTAAAGAACACGCACACGTAGCAAGAAAAAGGTATACAAGAGCCCGAAGAGGTACTACTACACCTATATATAATCCCTGCAGCACCGTACGCGTGCCCGAAAACTGAACAAGGAAGCCAAAGAATTTGGAGAACGTTATTATGTGAAAAGATGGCAAGTGATTGGGTCGAAGCGCAAAACAAAGACCTGACAGCAAAGACAGCAAGCACTCCAGTTTATTGCAGATTAGATGAGGTGCAAGTACACAAAATAGTGGAAAAAGGTATACCTTAAGGCGTGAATATGGATGATGTTAGAAGAGGAGTGGCCAAAATCGGGTACACCCGGCCCCAATCCGGCCATTATCGGGTACCCTTGTTTTACACAGTCGGCAGCGCCCTCCTGGCGCCATCTGATTGGCCGACGACCGCCCCTACCCGGCCCTGACCCTATTCCCACCGGGTGCACCCGATCTTGGCTACTCACCCCCCGGAGGGGTACCCGATCTTCCTCTCGCCTACCCGAAAATGACTGGGCTATTCGACCAACAGACCACCAGCAGACCACGCTCACGAACACACGTCACCAACACCCCGCACTCGAGTTCCGACGCTTCCGACGGCGGGCTGAGGCGGACCTAACGCGGCTAACGCGGCGGAACTCTCGTTTGAAGTGGATCAGTGGACCTCTCTCCTGCAAGACTCCTCCTGCAACCCACCGCCGACGGCGGAACTCTCTCGGTTCTCGTTTCGTATCGGAGAGGGAGGAGAGAGAGGGCCAGGCGGGCGGCGGTGGATGAATACCTCTCAATACCTCACTCACGTGATCACTTGAGCTGCACACAAATACATGACGCAGCTCAGATATGTGCACGGAAGCATCAGGCACAGAAGCATCAAGGTGTCGCTTTCGTCTGGAATACATTTCTAGACACATCAAGACCGGAGATGTATTGCACGTTGTTGTGTACGCAGAGGGCCGTTCGTACACAGCAATGCAGCAGCAAGCAGCAAGCAGTGGATGCCGTGGTTATGTCTCGATCAAGACCGGTGATATATGACACATTGTTGTGTAGGAAGAGGATCGTACATACATACATTGTTTGCTCCGTTACTCCCATGCCCTGGTGCGCAGTGCCTGGTGCTGGTACGTTACCCTTTGATTTTTTCTTTCGGCGGGTGTGGGAAGCGTCCTCCTTTATTTTTCTGTTATTTTGTTTTGTTTGATTTTGATCGGTGTCCGAGGGCTCTTTTCTCGAACGGTCGGTGCGATACCTGTTATGTTCTTTCTATCATTTTGTTTTCTTTTTCCGAGTGGTTTGTACCCTTTTTTGTTTTTTTTTGTTTTCTCGCGGCGTCGTATGTGCCGGGTTTTGAGACCACGAGCTCCCCATTTTTTGTGGACTACATTCTCCGCCTCCCCCCCTCCTCCCCTCCCCGGGGGAGGCCGAGGCCCGCAAGTGCAGTTAACCCTCGAAAAACTACCCAACAACGACGGATATACGGTCCCTTGCACCGTTTAGGAGAGGATCCTGAGTTTGGCGGTCGGGCGTTACCGCGGTCACGAGATCGAGGTAGATCGCGATAAGCCAACTTGGAGACAGCTGCCGATGGGTTTGAACCCAAATCCCCCGGTTTGGACGCCGGGGCAAGGCAGCAGTGGAGAGCACGGAGAGGGTGGCGGGATGATCGCACACCATGTGGG